CACACACACACACACACACACACACACACACACACATACACACAAGCCTCATTTCACACGTCGAAGTTTTAGCACCCACTGACGATTAAAGGTAATTTCTATAAAGTGTAGTTTCCACCCTATCTAAAAATTTTTAACTGGCATCAGGTGGCTGTCCTACATGATTATATACGAGTGTCTTTTCCATCTTCCTGTCTACTCCGCCGAGTGTCGTTGTAACAGCTAGGGCTTATAATAAGTCAACATGTTAGCAAGTTAATAAGTTAACAAATTCGTCTACTTAGTTTTAAGTTACTAAGTTAAATAAGTTACTAAGTTAAATAAGTTAATAAATTAATAAGTTAACAAGCTCGTCTACTCACTTAAGTTACCAAGTTACTAAGTTACTAAGTTAAATATTTAAGTTAATAATTTAACACTCTCGTCTCTGTACTTGTGCAGGCCGCCATACGCCGCATCACGTCCGCCTGCAACATGCCCAGCTTTGACGACCCCAACATCCGCGACCTCGTCGAGCTGCGGCTCATTGACGCCTACAACATCTGCTCGGGCCGCCAGGGGGAGACACTCGTCATCAGCAACGAGAACTTCACGCAGGCGGCGCCACCGTCGCGACGCGCGTCGCCGACGACGACGACCGCCATAGCGCGCAAGGCGAAGAAGCACGTGACCTTCCAGCTGGACGAAGACTCCGGCAACGACAGCGTGTCGTCTTCCAGCGCGTGCCCGTCGCCGCCGACCGAACGCGACAAGGACGACGACGACGACGACGACCGCCAGGTGGCGCACGAGAGCAGCGACGAGTACGAGCTGAGCGTCGACGACGCGCGGCGGCAGGTGGCGCCGCCTGCCGGCGGCGGCTGCTCGTTCGCGATGAGTCGCTTCGCGGGGCGGCCGTTGCCGCCGACGACAATGCTGACGCCGATCGAAGAGGAGCACGAGATGACGATGATGGAGTCTAAGTTCATCGTGGCGCCCCCTGGCGATGAGGCGCCGCTCGACGCGACGCACTCTGTGTCACCGACGAGCGAGGACAGCGGCATGGACGACTGTTACAACTTCACAGCATTCCACGATGACGAAGAAGAAGGTTGCGTCTTCTAATGATGGAGAGAAAGAGGGGGCATCTCTACTAAAGAGGAAGATTGTCTTCTAACCTTAGGATGGAGAGAAAGAGGGGGCTTCTCTACTAAAGAGGAAGATTGTCTTCTAACCTTAGGATGGGGAGAAGGGAGAAGTTTCTAACGACGGATAGAGAAGTGGGGGCTTCTCTACTAAAGAGGAAGATTGTCTTCTAACCTTAGGATGGGGAGAAGGGGGAAGTTTCTAACGACGGAGAGAGAAGTGGGGGCTTCTCTACTAAAGAGGAAGATGGTCTTCTAACCTTAGGATGGGGAGAAGGGGGAAGTTTCTAACGACGGAGAGAGAAGTGGGGGCTTCTCTACTAAAGAGGAAGATTGTCTTCTAACCTTAGGATGGGGAGAAGGGGGAAGTTTCTAACGACGGAGAGAGAAGAGGGGGCTTCTCTACTAAAGAGGAAGATTGTCTTCTAACCTTAGGATGGAGAGAAAGAGGGGGCTTCTCTACTAAAGAGGAAGATTGTCTTCTAACCTTAGGATGGGGAGAAGGGGGAAGTTTCTAACGACGGATAGAGAAGTGGGGGCTTCTTAGAAGTGGGGGCTTCTCTACTAAAGAGGAAGATTGTCTTCTAACCTTAGGATGGGGAGAAGGGGAAAGTTTCTAACGACTGATAGAGAAGTGGGGGCTTCTCTACTAAAGAGGAAGGTTGTCTTCTAACCTTAGGATGGGGAGAAGGGGGAAGTTTCTAACGACGGAGAGAGACGTGGGGGCTTTTATACTAAAGAGGAAGGCGGCGCCTTCTAATCTAACGACAGAGAGAGAAGGGGGATTCTCTACTAAAGATGAAGGTTGTCTTCTAATCTTAAGATGGGGAGAAAGGTGAAGCTTTCCTACTAAATCCACTTAAAGAAAAAGGCTAGCTGTCTTCTAATCTTAGGATGGAGAGGAGAGCTGTCTATTAACCCTAACTAGAGAGGAGGAAGGCTGTGTCTTTCAACTTTAGAATGGGAAGAAGGGAGAAAGCTTCTATATCAACCCTACCATAAATAGAAGCCTGTGTTCTAACCTCAGCATGTTCGAACCTTAAATTGACTACGTCACGAATTTTCTATGGTAAAATTTGTAAAATTTTTGTTGCCATTTTTTTACATTAAAAGTAAGAACTAACGTGTCTAAACGTATCGTCAAATTCTTACCTGATGAGATTGCATCTCAACTAGTTAAAAATGCAAAAAACCTTGGCGGTTTTGTTTTTTTTTTCTTGCCTTTATTTGTTTGTTTTGGGTTTTTTTTGGTTCCGGGTTTTTTTTTCCCTTGGACCATTTTGTTAAACCGGGAGTTTTATTGCGGCATTTTACCCTTGGAAGTTGACCGGATTTCTTTTTTTTTTGTGATTTAATTTTTACTATTTACGGTGACGTAATCACGTTAAAGATGAAGATTATCTTCTAACGTTACAATCTGGAGTAGTGGAATAGTTATATCAACTTAACCCTCATCGTAAGATGCAGGTAGAAGTGTTTGTCTTCTAAATTATACTTAAATGAAGCAGTTGCCTCGCCCCCCAAACTCTTAGAAGAAGCAGGACGGCTGTATTTCCCCATATTTTCTCGTGTGAGAGATGTGCATCTGTCATTCCACAACGAGGCGATGAATTTGTTACGAAGTTTAGATTTAGTTCCGCATCCTCGATGTACACAGAAGCAAACGTGATCTCCTCGAACCCCTCGCTTTATCTGTCTAATGGCTTGTAGATATTGTACTATGCCGACGAAGCTGTTTTAATAAGAATAGACCATTCCTCGGGGGAAACAAGCATCTAGGCTGGAGGGATCGTAGAGGGACTTGTGTGATTATTAAAGGCGGGGATGCTCTGGTTCGCGACGTCTTTGCGCATGAAGATGTGCGAGAGGCTTTGCCGACGGAGATGCAGGTAGTAAGTTGCGTGTAATTAAGGAATTGGGACAATTTATCTTATCAATCTAATGCTCTCATTGACACTGACAATACTCGTCGATTTTTGTATATATTTGTATTTATGAAATCCTATTGAATTGAGGACTATTTGCTGTGCCTATGGGCTCACTCGTAGCCTGCATTGCCAATGATGCCTTCACTCGATCACTGGATTTATTGAACCAGTGGGCATGATGAAAGTCGTTTCATATGCAAGTTTGTTTTTAAATATGGAATAAACTGCATTGTTATGTATGGGACGCAGTTCAGTCTGTTTTAATGCGATTGCGTGCGTGCGTGCGTGTGCGTTCACGCGATGAACGATTATGCATTGGTCGAGGCCTTCTCGCAATACTGGACAAATTGTACAACCTACACAGTTTATTTGTGTATGTCTATACCCATATTTCGTCAATGTAGTGTATAAGCTATAGTCTTAACATTCCATAAACCGATTATGTATATTATCCAAAATTGTACAAATGGTAGTTTACTAGGATCCCAATGTAATATAGGCATATATATTTCATATTCACTATTCACATTTGAATATGATTAAACTTGTTCCCAGTGTTGTACATTTTTTGGATAGAAATTATGAATATTACCTGTCTATTTATCTGTAAGAATAAAACTGTGAATTAAAATTTTCTGACTTTTGTTTGAATTTTACACAATGGCCATCAATGGAGAAAAACTATATGGAAAGGCTCTAAACACTGAAGCCCAAAGGAGGCAGCATGAAATAGAGAATCGCGAGTAACAGAAAGCACGTGCTGCAGACAGAATGAATCACCCTGACCCATTCATCAATCTCAACAACACCTGCATACATTGTAACAAGACATGTGGATCCAGGATTCGCCTCGTCAGTCATCTGAGGACCCACAGACATCCATAGCCTTCCCATGGGCGACAATCATCCTCGAACTCGAGGGATTGCCGATAATAATATGTATTTAAATATGACATCGTGGCGCCATCTCTCGGCGGAAATAATTTAACAGTTCGTATATCTAAATTACCTACTCCAGTACCTGTAATTTATACCGGTTTGGCACGCCCTGACGGGTTTCTCTCTCGCGAGATCTCACTAAGGAGCGACGTGTGACTTGGGCAGCACTATTAAGAACAAGCTCTCCTGTGTGTTGGTTTGTCTGCTTCTAATTTCCCAGCTACGACAGCAGACACGTCATCGCAAACAGTGTAAGTTCTAACATAGATATCATACGTATTATCACGTATTTATTATAAATATATAAATATACTGTGTATATACCTGATATTCAGAATTCGTCTACTGACGCTGAGCCAGTTAAAGAAATGCCACGTCACCATAACGGGTTCGGGCATTGTCAGAGCAAGCATTCACCCAAGCGCGTTCTGATATTGCGTATATATTTATTTGTTGGTTTAATGACCGTGCATTGGCGACAATGAGAACATGAGCTAACAAGCTACCCATCAGTGGCGTATCCAGCATAGGGTGGAGCCGGCGTACGCCCCCCCCTCACGAAAAAAATCAATAAAACCTACTTGCAACTTACTACTTACTATAGTAAACTAACATCAGGTGTGTACGTTTTCTGGAAAGTCATAAAAAGTGTTTTTAAATCCTAAATTGTAGGGTTGAGTCTTCGGTTGAGATAGTGTCATCAGACATCAGAATATGGCCCACAGTATGCCTCAGATTGCAGGAAAATGGCTTAAATATTTCAAAATTTTCTGGGGGAACATGTCCCCACACCCCCCTAGCGCTGGCGTGCCTACGGCAAACGGGGCTGCCGAAGCAGCCCAGGTACATTTCGCCCCCTGTTTATCAATTACTGGACACGCCACTGCCCATCACTAGTGAAATTACGATATAGCATATATAGTTTTATTGTGGTAACACAGCGTGAACTCTTGTATACTTTGTTCTAGAGTAAACATCTTTAGAGCAATCTTCATTATTGTTGTTAACGTTGATTTTAACATCGGTTTTTACTTCTACGCATATAGGTGACAATACATTGCCCTTCGCGTTATGTTTGCAGGTAAGTTTACTTAATGTTACAAAATATAATAATGAATGTTTAATTAGCACATGCAACGTACGATGTTTGAAATACGGTGTCGTCATGTGCACAATTCGTTGCCATAAGCACGCACGCTCAGTTCTATTTTTGTTAATTTATAGATAATTAGCGGTTGTACGCGTATGACGGTAGTGTAGTAGTGTTCGTTTACGTAGCGGTATAGCTGATACTCGCATTTCTGTGGCACTTGTCGAAGTGCAAAGACAAACGTAAAGCTACGCTGACAATGTAATACCATGCAATTAAGGAGATGTTAATTAATAAATTAACGCGATGATTTGGTTATAAATGACGGTCGTCGTTTAAATGTCAAACGTAAATGTGTGTCATTTTGTTGTAAGTATATTATGCGCGTGTTAGACAGTACAGTATTTAGTGTTTGTGTGCGTGCGTGCGTGCGTGCGTGCGCGCGTGCGTGTTATTTTCACTGGATACTACATGTGGATGTAATGTGTATTAAATGTAGTAGAGAAGCCATTTTCGTCACGTGATTGCTGAAGCTTCGAATTCGTATGTTGAAGCTGTCTGTGATTTTATATTTTAGGTTATTTCGGTTGCACACACACACCGCATTTGTGGGCCGAATGATGTGTGTAAGTATTAATAGTAGCAATCAAGTAAATGGTGCATGTGAAAGTTTTATCAAAATTTTATAGTTTATATTTTATATTAAAATTGTTAAATATCTTAGTTACTTTATATGTGTATTAGTTTACGATTAGATAATTAAAATATTGATATAATAATTGATTGTATATTGATATATATATATGAAGAATTATTAATCTTAGAGATAATATACTAATACGGATGTGTTTATTTATACATTAGACTTGATTTCGACATTTCCATGGAGAATTACTGACTGGCCACTACTCTCCGATTAAATGAACTGCTAAGAACAAAGGTATTTATTCATTTACTAGTTTCTGTGTCACATAACATCCTGCAATTGGATATAATAGATATATCATTGATTATATATTAATATATATAGACTATTATTATTAGAAATAGTGTACTAATTAATAGGCTTATTTTTATATTACTTATTCATACATTAAAAATTATGAAAAAGTTATAATCAATTTTTTTAATTCTATAAATAACGAAGACTTTGAATATGGTAAATTTTGTTATCCACATTTTTCCATGCTGGTTACTGTTAGTATAAATTTAGTGTTTGCGTGCGTGCGTGCGTGCGTGCGTGATTGCGTGCGTGAGTGCGTGCGTGCGTGTTATTTTCACTGGATACTACATACGGATGTGATGTGTATAATAAAGAAGTAATTTTGGTCCCGTTACTGCTGAAGCTGTGAATTCGTGTGTGTTGAATCTGACATCGTATTTTTCGAGCAGCCATTATCTCACAACGTTTTCTGTGATTTTATGTTTAAGGTTATTTTGGTTGCGCACACACCGCATTTGTGGGCTGAACGATGTGTAAGTATTAATAGTAGCAATAAGGATAATGATGCATGTGAAAGTTTTATCCGAATTTTGTAGTTTATATTTTATATTAGAATTATTAAATATCCTAGTTACTTTATATGTGTATTAGTTTACGTCAGGACAGCAGAATCCTGCATTAGCAGTATAAATAAATAAATAAATAAATAAATAAATAAATAAATAAATACATAAATAATGTTTATATACTCTCATCAGGTAAATGTTTGATGACTCATAATGCCTCAGACGGCAGTTCTCTGATTCAAGGAACTGCTAGAGTATAGGTATTTGTTCATTTACTAGTTTCCGCATCACATAACACCCTGAGATTGGATATAATTGATATCTTAATAATTCATTATATATTATATATAATATTATATGTATTTAAATTATTGATAATTAACATATTGATATAATAGTTGATTATATATTAATATAAATCAATAATTATTAGTCTTAGAGATAATATACTAATATGGAATGGCGGGATGTGTTTATTTATACATTAGATTTGATTTCGACATTTCCATGGAGAATCACTGACGGGCCACCACTCTCCGATTAAAATAACTGCTAAGAACAAAGGTATTTGTTTATTTACTAGTTTCCGCATCACATAACACCCTGAAATTCGATATAATTGATATATTAATATATTGATTAATTATATATTATTGTATATGAATTAATATAATATATATAATACTATATATATAAATGATTGTAGTATAGACGCCCGGCAGCGAGCCATAAAGGTGCGCTCTGCCATGCAAATTGCTCTTTTTTATGAGCGCCGAACATCAAGCGATTTGCCGACGCAAGGTTGTTTATAAAATCGACTTGTTTTTGGAATGGCAACCTTAGGATTTTATGGTGCCGTCGCGAAATGGAACGCGTGACGTGTCGCGACACACACTCGGGTCTCCTCTTTCAGCCACGTCGGTTCTCTTTTCTCCGTCACCTACGTCTTCCATTTTTCTGGTATCTGTTCCTTCTCCCACGCTCTATCTCTCAGGATCTCTGTCTCCGAAGCCGTACCCCGCCGAGTGATTCCGGGTATCGATAACGTCTACACACTAAGGTAATCTTCTACGCTTGTACGCGACACGCGCGCGCAGAGGCGACATACGAGTCGGCTCTCTAGCTATACATAGGTATAAATTGTACGTGATACGCGGCGCTGCCTGCTACACATATTGTACGCACAGTAGTTATATAGGTAGTGGTTCTTTATTAATATAAGTACGTCGGGTGCGTCTGCAATTCTGTGTTCTTGTTATTCATCGGCGTTACTGTCAACTACCGTCGGAGGAAACCCTCCCTTAGCCGGACCGAGGACCTGGGTAGAGGGAGGTAACGATCTCGCCTCGTTACAGTGGTGCGTGACAGCGGTTCGGCGCGGTAGTTGATGATTACGTTTATTTCATAGGGGAATTCGCGACAGATTCCTTGTCATTTATCGTGCTTTTTCTTATATACGTTTCTGCTTTAAGTTAAATTCACCATCAAAGTCCGCCCTCGCCGCAACGCAGAAGTGAGTACGCCAGTTTCGACTTTCCGCCGAGGATGTACACGTGAGTGCGACGACATATCTTGTCTCTATAGTTACGGTGTGCTCTTATCTTATCTTATCTTATCTTATCTTATCTTATCTTATCGTTAATCTTATCGTATTTTAAATCCGTTCGCACGCGCGCTCGCGATTGTCGCCTCACAACAGAGGTGACGCGCTACTGCGTAATTTACCGTTTTGTTTTTTATCTCGTTCGCTATCACTATACACTACGCGCGTACCGCTCTCTCTCCCTTCCTCACCGATCGTATACATTCTACTCCCTCCTTCCGCCATTTCCTTCGCTATCACTTTCCTTTTCCCCCCACCTCTTTCTTCCGCGCAATTTATATAATTTTTCGTCAATCGTACATCGTATTTCAGCCTATGCGTGCATTTTTCCTGCCACGTCGCACATCGCTGCCACGTCACGCCACACCTAGAAAACGTGTTTTTCCTCCTTCCCCCTTTGTCTCTCCTCTCCCCTTGTGCGCGTGCCATCGCTCGCTTCACTGCGCTCGCTGCCTGTCGCCGCGTTGTCGTCGCTGGGCATACGCTGCGTGTCATTGACCCTTGTCCGTACTCCGTGTTCTTTTTGACTTGTACCGTTCCGCACGGCCGCATCTCTCTCCCGCTCTCGTGCTCACTCACTTTTCCCCCTCACTCACTTTTCCCCCTTCACTCTTCCCCCCCTTCACTCCTATTCCCCCCTTCACTCCTTTTCCCCCCTTCACTTTTTTTCCCCCCTCTACTCTTTCCCACCTCACTCTTTCCCCCCCCCTCACTCTTCCCCCCCCTAACTCTCGCACGGTTCCTCCCGCACGCCTCATCCGAGGCTCCAGTGCTAGTCCTACGCTCAGGGCGAGGAGGAGGACTCTCGCACGCCACCGTCGCCGCACATTCCTAAGCCGCTCGACCATCCCCTGCAGACGGGCGACGATGCGGAAGGCGTCGAAATGGTGACGCTTCGTCGTTACCACTAACATTATTATAGGTTTAGAGCATACCGTAGCTATAGTACGCGTCGCACGCTCGTGTCACGGAGACCTAGGAGTCTCGCGCGTCTCGGTAGCTCCTGTAGTTGCGGTGATGGTATGCCGCTATATAGGCATCTATATATATCTATTACCGCGCGTATATACGCTAGTCGAGGCACGCATGCCGCCTTTAAATCAGCGTTTCACGCCCTGTGAGGCGCGCTATTCCTTTTTCTGTTTTATTTATCCGTTCTACATCACCGTCTCCACCCAGCAACATGGAAATGGCATACTCCATCCTGTCGGCGTGCCTGCCGTGGGCGCAGTACCCCGCGTGCATGAGGACGCCGCTGCAGCCGCCCGTGCCGACCGCGCCGCCGACCGCACCGCTGGCGATCACGGCGCCACCGCAAGCAACCACGCCGCGGGAGGGGTCGTCGGCCCTCGCCGACCCCGTCCGACCCCGTCCGTCCGGCCGTCCGTCCGGCCGTACCGTCGCCACCTCCACCGACGATCTGGACGTCGTCATCCTGGCCGACCACCGCATCAACTGGTTCGTCGGGGGTGGCTTCCGGGACCAGCCCTACCTGCCCACCAGGGAATGGGTCGAGGACGGCACGGACTGGGACGACAGCGGCGACGACGACGACAGCGGCGACGACGACGACAGCGGCGACGACGACGACAGCGACGGCGGCGATGACCCCGAGGCCGCCTGGGAGGACGTCGGCCCCTGGGAGGACGCCAGCGACGAGGAACGCTGGTCCCTCCCCGGCGACGACGAGCCACCTTGCCGCGTCCCCGACGACGATTGGCCGCGGATGTTCCCGCATCTCTTCGCCGAGGAGCTCCCCGCTGCAAGGCCCCAATCGAACGGCGACGACGACGGCGACGACGACGCGGCCGCATGGCGGCACATCGGATACAAGTGGGCCGTCGCCGCCAGGGACGACCAGTTTGGTCCGAACCCGGCGACGACGAGTTCCGCTCCCGCGCCAACAACGACGACGACTGGCATCGGTTGTGGCCGGAGCTGTTCCCGGAGGCGTAATGTCCTGATCGGCCGGACATTACGCGCCCGTGTCGCGTCTCACCGGCGCTGTGATTTACTGTTCCATCTAAAATTGTTTTTCTGTGTTTTGTCGCGCGCTTTTCACAGCTATTTTATGCGTCATGCGGGTATTTTTATACGGGTATTTTTATACGGGTATTTCGTGCGGGTATTTTATGCGTCATGCGGGTATTTTATACGGGTATTTCGTGCGGGTATTTTATACGGCAATTTTTTTTTATATACGGGTATTTTAAACGGGTATTTCAGAACACGTATGTTCACGCGTTTTCCTTTTTATTATTATTATGATTATCAGTATGCGTCGCGTATTCGTTTTGCGCACGACCGTCTCGTCGCGTGTCCACCGCCTCGGCGCCAGTTTCTCTTTCGCTAACGTTACGTTGCACCATCACCGTTTTCTTTTGGCGTTTGGTGATGCTGCAACCGTGCCTCGCCACTATTT